ATACTGATGCTGATTTTTTCTGAAACCAAACTTTTGAGAATCACTGAGACAATATTCTTTTTTAAAAATAATACACGTGGGGTCATATTAAGGGTACCAAAAGTAAGATATTATCAAAATATCAATTTTAGGGGCTGGGGTTGTGGCTCAGCGGTAGAGCGCTTGCCTAGCATGTGCAAGCCCCTGGGTTCCATCTTCAGCACCCCATAAAAATAAATAAATAAAGGTATTGTGTCCAACTACAACTAAAAAAATAAAATAAAACATTTTAAAAAGTCATATTGTTAAACAAGTTTCAATTTTAATAAGTGTAAAATTATATCTGAGTATTGTTTTGATTTATGGTCCCTGCATTATTTGGGAAGCTGAAGATTCACATTTTCCTTGTATTTGACTTCCTGTGAACTGTAGGTTGTATTCGTTGCATTACAAGAGAAATAACAATATGGAAGAAAGCACCAGACCTCTCTTTGAAGGGTGCTGGCAGTTTTGCAGTGTTGGGGCATAGGGTGCTGATACGGGGAGGGAGGTCAGGGCATGCGTATTGACTGTGGCAGATAGTATCAGAGCTTAGAGGTTTTCATGGGCCAAGAAAAGATTTTGGTCTTTATTTTGAGAAGTAGCATTGGTGCTCTTTAAGTTTATACTTTAGTGTGTTAAAGTTTCGATAGAGCCTTTTGTGGAATGGCAGGGTATCTTGTCTTAGTTCCCCAAGTCTAATGTTTAGTCTTCAAACAACTCCTTCTTAAGCCCTTTCTTTCATCTTGGGCTTTAAAGCCACCTGGTCATGTTTCATAAACAGGTAAACACAAGAATAACCAAAAACCTCATGCACCTGGTCGGTATTGTCTTTGAGGAACGAGTTTTGCAAGATCTCTTAAAAGAACATACTTGGTGGCTTTACCTGATGGGACCCTGAATCCTTCCTAAATTTGCTGACATCTGAGGGCAGTCTACTTTAGGTGGGTGGGTTCTTTTGTTGTTTTAATTTGAGTGAATTTCTGGGAAAAGCTATGGATTTCAGCCAATATGCTAATGATAATGGCATTGCTTTGAAAGTCTGGTTAGTTCTGTAAAGAATCATTTCATAGTTAATTATGTTAGCAAATCAACAGCAGTCTCTTAAAGAGGAAAGCAATGGGGGAGAGACTACATATATACTTAAATTATTCAGAACTCAAAGAAGGATCAAAAGTTCAGTTTAAAAAGAGAAGTCCATGTAAGAATAAATCACTAGGTTTGCATATAATTTTCCGTATGGGTGTAAGTTTATAATGGGCATATAAGGGATTAAAATTAAATAGCTTTGCATGTGGAATTAGGGGACATCAGCCTCATCCTGTGCCCTTTCTAACATTTTTCTGATTCTGGACAGGAGAGTGGGAAAACATCAAATCCGAACCTGGGCTTTTGATGAACTCAGGGAAGTCCACTGGGTTTGAAAGATAGACTGATACTGTTGGGGTTCAGTGATGCTCATCTGGGTGAACTCCCTTTCTGTCTTCCTTCCTGTGCAAGTGGGACTTGTTGCTATGGAGAAAGAGGAGGGTGGTGCATCAGCCACAAGCCATAGTGCTTCTAGACTCTCCAGAGAAAGAGAGTCCTTAGGGTCTTTTTATTTTAATAGATATTTGACTATTCTATACATTAATAGTCCCCTTCTCCACAATCCAGTAATCCCTTATTACTGTGTTACATTACATGTGCTTGCCTTTACAAGGCTATAGGATTTATTGAGACAAAAGTGATGCTTACTAATCATAGCATGGGGGAGACTTTTCTAAAGTTTGTCTGAGGAGGTTTCATAGGATTAATGGACTGGAAATATCATTCCGTGTGTGTCCAGGATGACGGCACCTTGGTTAGTGTGGAAGTCCTCATCATTTCAGGGATGGTAGGTAGAGTTTGACAATGGTTGAGACAAATGAAAATTTATATATGGCCTCTTCCTTCTCTAGGCTTTGTGACCATCAGCGAGAGATTGATCCTGTCAACATTTCAGCTTCTTCAGGTGTAGAACAACATATACCACCGTGAGTGTTATAAACATGGACCCCCCTCTCCCATTCTCTGCAATGGGAGGGGCTTGGGAGGGCAACAGAAACAGGCATTAGGAAAAGCAAGGAGTTTTTTTTTTGTTGTTGTTGTTGTTGGAACTCAAGGGATGGACAGAAGAGATGGGAGGGAGTAAACAAGGTTTTCATGGAAGAAGGTGTGAGTGATCCAGAGTCTAATGAGCTCAAAAAGGATGTTTGTTGGAGGAGTTTGGGCTTTCTTCTGAAGAGAGGGGTTTTCATATATGATTTCCTTAGGACCTGTGTTGTGCATTTGACCACAGCCATATGATTTTGTATCTTCTCTGTTTTGCTGTTTCTCTATTGCAAATGTGGCTCTTGGAAGGTGTTATTTTTGGCCACCAAACAAGACTGGATTACCACCCATCCAGGGCTGGATTAGTTTTGATCCCTGTGGCTCCCACTTTATGAGGCAGACATGGGGATTTAGGGAAATTTGATTTTTCTTTTGGGATCCAACTTAAAAATTTTAAAAATAGCCAATTTTTCTACTGTCTTATTGATTTAACACTTTACTCTTTGTCCAGTTGCCTTACATTTATTCTTAGAAATAGGCTCAGTACAGAAAATAAAACCCCCCCAAATAGGTCAGATGTGGTGGCACATGCCTGTAATCTCAGCACCTTTGAAGGCTGAGGCAGAAGGATTACAAATTGAAAGCTAGTCTCAGCAATTTAGGTAGACCCTAAGTAACTTAATGAGACCTTATCTCAAAATAAAAAATAATAATAATAAAAGGGCTGGGAAGTAGCTCAGTGGTAAAGTGCCCCAAGGTTCAATCCCCAGTATAAAAACAAAACAAAATAAAAAAGCCCTGAAAAATATCAGGTTCTGATCTGGTTGATTAGAACTGTTGTAACAGTGTAGTGGTCTCATCGTTGACCAACTACATTCTATCAAGAAAGGTAGTGCTGGGACAGGGTGCTTTGGTCCCTAAAATGTAGATGGCCATGCCAACATGAAGCTGCTGTCCACTATATGCAGTTTTACTTGATGCATTAGGTTTGGCTTGAAGTAGGTATACTGGAAATAAGGAATCACCCTTTGATTTTTAAAATTCAGGTCTTTTTTCAGGGGTGGGTAAGGGGATTGAATTCAGGGATACTCAGCTAATGAGCCACATTCCCAGACCTATTTTGTATTTTATTTAGAGACAGGGTCTCACTGAGTTGCTTAGTTCCTTGTGGTTGCTGAGGCTGGCTTTGAACTTGCTGTCCTCCTGCCTCAGCCCCTGAGCCACTGGGATTATGGGCATGAGCCACCATGCCCAGTTTAAAATTCAGATCTTCACATTTATCTCACTCTGTTTAGGCTGTTATGACAGAATACATGAACTGGGTGGTATTTATTCTCACGGTTCTGGAGGCTGGGAAGCCCAAGGTCAAGGCTCTGCACATTTGGTATCTGGTGAGGGCTGTCTTCTGGGTTGCTGACTTCCCTGTGTCCACACATGGTGGAGGGAACAAGGAGTTCTCTCAGACGTCTTTCATAATGGTGCTTACACCACTCCTAAAAGCGCTTCTCTTATGATCTAATCGGCTCCCAAAGGCGCCACCTCAATACTATCAACACATGAATTTTGGGGAAACACAAACATTCAGACCCTAGCAATATCTGACTGTCAACTCTTAAAAAAAATAAGAGATCATATATTTTTTTGCTCCTTTTTCCCAGTCTCCTGGCTTAGAGAAGGCACTTCATATTTGTTTATTGGAAATCAAGCTTTTAGATATGGTAAGAACACCCAGGAAAAAATAATACATATTAGAGGATTGTGGTGTCAGGAGGTGATTTATCATTGGAAGCAGAGGTCTCCAGATGTGAGTGGGAATCCCTCAGAGTAGAGAAGGGGGTTTGTCGGTGTGTTTTGTTTTTGTTTGACATTTGGATTTTCTTCTGGATCTCTGAGAACTGTCAGTTTCATTATCTGTTCCTTCTCTGGATTATGGACTTTTCCTGGGCAGGAAGAATTTGGTGGGTAATATTTGTTGGATAAAAAAATGTCTTCTTTTTCTTTCTTTCTCTCTTTCCTTTCTTTCCTTCTTCCCATTCACCCAAATCAAGGAGTTTCTACTTCTTATTCTCTGAATCATGCAATCTTCTCCTTCCTGTAGTTCAGTTTCCTCTTTGCCCTCTCCCCCCTTCCTATGTTCCCTCTCCCCACTGTATTTTCTTTTCCCTCCCACCTCTTATTCTCCTTCTCAGACTCTTTAACTTGCTCTTGATCTGCCACAGGCCAGGTCTTCTGTTAGACATGAGTGCCAGACATCAGTGATGAGTAAAATATTGTCTAGCTCCCTTGCCTAGATAAGGTTCAGGTTCAGCTTCTCAGCAGCTGTTTGGGATTGTTTCACTGCTATTCCCTTCCTTTCTTGCAATGCCAGAAAATGTACTGGTCACCCCAAATTTGACCAGAAGTATGCTCGTACTGCCACACACAGTCCATACCAGGCCACAGCTATGTCTGGATGGGAGATGTCTTGTGTAGTTGCTACAGACTCCACAAGTTTGGGGAACTCAGCATGTGTTTGGATTTCTTTGGAATCAGCATTGGGAACCTGACAATTTGTAAAAATCTCTCTCCCAAACTGAAAGTCTGAGGAAGGATTGAGAAGGGGGCCAGAGGCCTTTCACTTTAAGAGGAAAACTACCTGTTAGCAAGCCACTTCTTTTCTGCTGTGTGTATTGCAGGTAGAGCCAATGGAGAAGCACTTATTGTCACCAAATTAACTCTTTCCCTTGCATCCCAGCTCACCATTTTAGAGCAGTGAGATTTGTTTAAAGAGGTAATTAATGCTTTCAGTTATGGAGAATGAAGTGGGCAGGCTTATTGCTTCTCTTTGTCTTCCCAATCTTTCCAATCTCTGATTACAGTATAACCAAATAATAAATAAATGTGTGAGGCTCCAGTGTATGAGTTACCACCAGCAGAGTCCAAAGGTCAAAGTTGAAAGAGTGTTGAATTCTTCCTGATTCCTGGGACACTGCTTCTGTAGACACTATCACCAACAAAATCCATCCTGGAGGAATGACCCTTTAAGAAATAGGATGGAAGGTAAGGTGAGCTCACCCACTTTGGAAGGATGTAATCCTGGGGGAAGATCTGATTGCTACTAGGTTATTTAGGGGGAAAAAAGGAAGAAACAGTCCCCAGGTGGTGTTTAGCAGTGTATTTGTAATGTTTACCCCCTTCTGAGGATTCCTGAGACAGTTTTGCAAAGAAGGGCCTTAATTTCCAGGTCCCTCTTTCCTTTTCTGGAACAGCATTTGAGCAGCTTGCACATTCGATGAAGAATCAGCTGCGAAGTTTGTGGTTTCCTGTGGCACATTTCTAATAATATTTATACAGGCCATTATTTAATGAACCGTTTAAATATTTATCATACAGAGCTGTTTTTTGATCATAAATAGGGGCTCAAAGTCAGCACAGCCCCTGCTGGGTCCCCGGGAAGAGAGCCATGTCAGCTCTTTGGGACGTCTGGTAGACTGAGGAGAGAGGTATGTCTCAGGATTCATGTACTGAACAGCTTGGGTTTCCCTTAGTATTTTACTTTCTCTTGGCTACCCACAGTCTGTGTCCTTGTTTCTCTCTGCCTGACCACCCTTACCTTATCCCTGACAGCTTGTTTCTTTTTTGTATTCATCCATACCTAAAAAGAAGAAAATAGAACCAAAGTTCTGACTCTCCGCATTTATAAAGTGGCTTCGGAGTCACACCACCGTGGCCTGGAATCCTAGCCCCTGCCTCTGTGCTGTGTGACCTCAACTAGCTTCATCTCTGAGAACCTCAGTTCACTTAACTGGAAATAGGCTCCTCCTGGGAGCCCTAAAAGGGTAGCCAAGGAGTCAATCAAAATTGTAAAGTCGTGTGGGTGATTTACAGAGCAAAGTTCAATAAATACGAGTTCTTGCTATATTTGTTGTTGGTGTTGTTATTGAAGAAGTCACCAAAGGATTTGATTTTCAGTTTCAGCTTGGTGTTGCGGAAAGATTCCCAGACTTACCCTCAGAAACTGGAGTTGAGATCCTGGTCTTGCCGTGTACTGTTTGTGTGACTTTGAACAAACTGCTCTCACTCCACTGGCATATAGAATGGTGATAGGTTTGCCCTCCTGATTGGGTTCCCTGCATGCGGTGAACACATGTGTGGAAATGTTTGACACAATGAGGATCCTAATCTTTTTCTCTTCAAAACAATCTAGAAAAGGCACATTCCTTTCTTTGGTTACTTTCTTTTGTGACTTAGAGGTACTAGTTGAATGGTTTGGAGTCCAGGACACAGCAGACAGTGTTTGTGACCCAGGGACAAAGGGCAGAGAAGGGGAGAACAAGGGATCTGCATTGCAAAAAATCCTCTGGCAGTGTTTTTGTAACTTATGGTGGGATTTCAGGGAAGCTGCCCAAGGGCTTGAACCTCCCTGTTTTCAGGTTCCAGGTGTAGAAACAATCAGAATGAGATTATTTAAAATTATAGTAGTGGGGAAAATGGTGAGCCTGAAAGATTTAATTAGGATCTTTTTTCTTAGAAAAACATGACCTGGGGGATTTGTGGGAACACTGCTAGGAGGGTCTGGTGCCCTTGTTTCTGTAAAGTTGAGTCTTTTCTTGGAGGAACTTTGATGGTGTATTATAGAAATAGAGGTATCCTGGGTTGTGGAGAGGTCAGACTTTCAAGATGGGCAGCGTGTCTCTGAGTTAGCCAGCCTCAGACACAGTATGCATGGGCCCCTACTGGAGATCCCTGGGTAAGAGTGCAGGAGTATCATAAGACAGTGGAACATACTGAGAAAGGCTGGGAGCTTGGGCATGAGAGCTCTTGGCATACTAGGATCAGTTCAGGAGCAACTCCCTGGGGACCTTTGCAATTCCAGTGGGAATCCAAGAGAGGGAATTCTGAGTAAAGTAAGATGTGTGTAGTTGGTAGAGGGAAGGTGGACAAGCTAGCTGGGTCAGCCTTCCTCCTGTTTGTAGATAAAGAAACTGAGGAAGCTCTGAGCCAAGACACCCTCCTTATTTTGTCAGTGACTGTATCCTTAGCAGGGTGCCCAGTGCCTGGTGCAACCAGCATTTCTTTGAGTCTCAGAAGTCACTGACTGCAAGATGCATTGTTTCATATACGACAGAGAAAAAAAAAAAAACTACCAATTGATTGTAAGATGCTGATAGTTACAGGATTCATTCTGATTTCATGGATGTTAAATGTGAAAAAAAAATTAGTAGTTTTGGGTTGGGGTTGTGGCTCAGTGGTAGAGCAGTGTGAGGCCCTGGGTTCGATCCTCATCACCACATATAAATAAATAAAATAAATGTATTTAAAAAATTAGTAGTTTAGAATTAGTAAAATGTAGTTGTAAGCACTCAAGAAATATTGGCTAATTAGGTGAATAAGGCATAGAGAGATTCTAATAAGGAAAGCAGTAGTATATACATTCAGGTGCTGCAGAGCAGTGATTTGGTAAATGACAGGCTGCATGAAAGACAGTGGTATGCCACCCAACCTGGGCATATGGCAGGCTATGTCATCTAAGTTTGATTAAGTACACTTTATGATGTATACACAACAATGAAATCACCCAACACATTTCTTAGACCTTGTCCGTATTGTTAAATGTCAGATGACTGTATAAACACGAACTTAGGAATTCAAACTATTAAAAAACATGACCCTGCTCATCCTTGTTTTTCATTGATTCACTGATTCAGTTATTCAGTAAGTAATTATTGAAAACCGATTATATGCCAGACACTGAGCAAGGAGCGGAGGATATAGAAATCAATAAGTTCATTTTTTGTGTGATTAAGTCAGAAGCAATCACTATTATATGAAGTTGGCTTTTTCCTTCCTTCCTTCCTTCCTTCCTTCCTTCCTTCCTTCCTTCCTTCCTTCCTTCCTTCCTTAATTGGGATAAATATCCAGGAAGCAGTAACTAAACATCTGCTGGCTGACTTTGTTTTAGAATCCTCACAAGTGTCTTGGCCAAGGAAATGTTATCTTTCTGAAGTTGAAGGGCACTGAATGGCTTCACAGGTTGAAATTGGACTCCAGTGCCGAGCTCACCTGGGGAGCTGCGGCATGTGCACTGGCCGGTCATCTCGGGAACTTGCTGCACTCTATGAAAGGCCGGTCTGGAAAATGAAAGGCCCTTGGAGATTTCTGTGTATCTCAGGCTAATCTGACCAAGGGGAATGAGAACAGCCACCAGGGCCAAGGAATTCCTGAGTGTTTTCTGGTCAGATTTCCTTGTAACTCATCAGGGGTCTGTAAGGAAAACAGATTGTCTAACAAATTCCTAATCTTGTCTCCCCCGGGGCTGCTTCCCAATTCCTAGTCACTTCATGACACGACTGAAATATATTTGCCTCTTCTGCAAACCGATACTGCAAGCTTTTAAGAAAGAAAGGAAAGTGTCTGAAACTTGGGTTTGCACAGATGTGGGACTTTGGGTCCAGGCTGCCTCTGTGTGAGGCTCGGTAAATTCCTTCACTTCTCAGAGACCTATTTTCTTATCAATGTAGTGTTTTATGATTGAAATAATGTACATTTACTGTGTATGAGTGCATGGACCTAGCATGAAGCATAAAGTAACATTCCTCTTGGAGTCTCACCTTGATCACCTGTTCGCTAGAGATTTAAATACGCTTCCCTTCTAGAGTCATAGTGAGGCATAGAGGGAAGCACCTTTCACACTGCCTGGTGCATAATAGATGCTCAGTAGCTAATTTGTTGAGTGACTAGAGATTTGATAGGAATTTTTAGTACCACAGGAACTGTCCTGTTGATTCAGCTTCACTGAGAACAAGTTCTTCTCTATTGCGTCCAGATTCTAAGTTCTCCTACCACCCTCTCTTTGCTCTTATCACACTTGTCACAGGTTTGCTTAGTTAGGTAGCTAAGTGCTTCATGTGACCCCTTTCAAAGAATCTAAATGCCATATCTGAGGCTGTGTCTGACTTGTTCACCAACTACTTAGCTTTGTGTGTCTAGAAACTTCTGTTGGACAAGTCCATAGTAAATGGCCGCTGCTTACATAGCCACAGAAGAATTTTGGTGGTGGTCTTTGTGGATTGGTCCTCATGTTGTGTTTGCACTTGCTCACCTCAGGTGGAGGGAACACAATGTCTGGAGAACAGGAGCCACGAAGCTACTACGTGGGCGTGGATGTTGGAACAGGCAGCGTCCGTGCTGCTCTCGTTGACCGGAGAGGGGTCCTTTTGGCCTTCGCAGACCAACCGATTAAGAGGTGGGAGCCTCAGTTCAACCACCATGAGCAATCCTCTGAAGACATCTGGGATGCGTGCTGTGTTGTCACAAAGGTATGGGTAGAGCTGTGGCGTCCTCTCCTAGCACCTGCTCCCACCCTGAGTGTCCACATGATGCCATGGACCCTGTTGGGGTACCTGGAGATGCAGAGCTGAGCCGCACATAGACCTTGCCTCCCAGAAGCTCACAGTGTAGTGGCAGAGACTGATAACACAGCTGAAATATGATGTGATAAGTGTCAGGAGCCAAGTAACAATGGTCGGAGCTAACCCGGAGTGGACTCTGGGAAGAGAGGAGAGGACGAGGAAGCTCAAGATGTGACCAGATGTGGAAGAAGCCACTGAGGATCGTAGCTGAGCTCTACTGTGTTTTTGGGTGTAAAATGTGTTAACATGTATTGTGAGGTGGAACCCGCAGGACTGAACTAGTTAGTATTTTGCTATCCCCGTTTGATTTTCAATCAAGAAGAAATGCAGGTGCAGAAAGTGAGGTAACTACCTAAGTTCATGTATTTGGTAAATAATAGAAACAAGTCAGGAACCTAAGCAGGCTGCACTGTAATGGATTCTCCTGCCTCCCAAATGAACGAGTGTGGGGAACTGCATTTGGTTCAGAGCATGTGCAGGGCATGGTGGCATGAAAACATGGTATGTTCTGAGAGGGCAAGGAGATTGGGTCAAACCAGAGCAGCTCTAATATGTGTTAGATAGATGTTCATCTTGAGTGGTCTTGGATTGTATTGAGCATGCTGGCTTGGTGAAGGAATTGATGCTGGACAGCACTTGTTCACATTTAAAGTTTCACTTGTTGGTTTGACTTTATATCCTGGTAATCAGGAATATCAGACTTCCTTTTATCTTATCCCCCACCCCCCAGAGGGAAGAATAAAGTCCTGGATTCCTTCTTATCCCTGTTCCTAGTTAGCTTCCTTAAATATTCATGAGGTGCTTGGTAATTTGCAGATGGACAATTCACCATTCTGTCCATATCGATCAGTCTGTTTAAAGTTTCATGAGCTCTGGGCTGCTGTTAGTGCCCCTGGAGAAGAAGGCAGAGAGAGGAGTGGGAGGGCAGCACAAGAGCATTGTAAGGAATGGAAGAGGGGTATCTTATCTTCTGCTTGTTTAATTGTCCTCTCCTCCCTTCCTCCTCACCCCCGCCTTGGTGAGAGTCTTCTCCCGCCTTGGTGAGAGTCTTCTGCTTTTTGCCCTTGGGTCTCCTTTGTTCTTCTAACATATAGCTTTTCTTGCCATTAAGGAAATAGTCAAGAAGAAAATATAATCCCCTGATGAAAAGCTCCTTTACAAAAGGTCTACTCTAAGTACAGCTTGGTTTAATGGTAGATGGCGGCCAACTCATCATTGGCTAGAGCCTATCAGCCCCATAAGTGCTGGGGCATTTGTCCTTCGTGATGCATCTTGCAACGGCAACCTGAGTACAGCTCTTGGTTCTTGGCCATTTCCCTCACATAGGTTTGTGACCAGATGCCAGAAGCTGCAGGACAATCATGCCACATCTATGGGGACATCATGGCTGGTATGAAGTAGCATGCCACAGGACATACATTCTGAGCCAGACCACCCAGATTGACATCCTCGTTCCAACAGTTGTGAGCCTGTGATCTTGGACAATTACTTCATGTTTCTTTGTGTGTTAGCTTACCTATGAAATGAGAGTGGTAATAGTAACCTCCATAGAGTTATTGTGAGGATTCAATGAATTAATGCATATAAAATACCATAACGGTGTCTGGAAATGAGCAATCACTGTGTTTCCTATGGTGGTGAGTAGATTGTGGAGGAGAATGGAATAAAGTAACTCAGCCATCAACACCCCAGATCAATCCCCAGAACAAACAAACAAACAAAAGAATGAATTTCTAAGATAAAATCCTGAGTAGTCAGAAGTCCAAGAGGGAGACACTCTTGGGAATATTCACCTATTTCTCTCTGTTTGGGGCTCCTTCTGTATAAGATTTTGAGAAGAACTGTCTTAGGGCAAAGGGTGGCCTAGTACATCCTGATCTGTCTTCTCTTTCTCCAGCAAGTTGAGGGCAATTGTTTACTTCCGGTTCCCTAGGGTGTTCACTTTGTGGGAGGTGATTTTCTCCCTCAGTTAAGATAATGATGATGATGATGATGATGATGATGATGATGATAATGGTGATGTTGTTGATACTATGATGATGACAATAATGGCAGCTTATATTTGTTACTCATTAATTATGTTCCAGATACTATGCTGGGTCCTTTATACTCATCACTTCATTTTATCTTTACAAGTATCTTTTGAAGTAGCTTTTATTCTTTGTCTTAAAGGTGAGAAATAAAAGGGCTTTGAAGAGGTTCAGTAGCCAGCATAGTTCTTGTAAGGAGTAAGAGCCAGTGCTGGGTGCTGCTCTAGTCACCACTGCCCCTTGTCTCTCTCTCCAGCTGCATCCACTTGCATGATGCATGCCTGGGAATTGCATGGGACAACCTGAAACTTGCTGGACTTGCTGCAGGATGGGGCACCTGAGCTGAAGTGCAGCCATGCTAGACTATACTGCCTTGTCCTGGCTGTGTGCTCATATATGAGACATGTGCCCCCAAAATGGGCAGGTCTTTATTGGGCCCATATCTAGCACACCTAAAAAGTTCTGTAGAAACATGCAAGTCCTGGAGAACATGCATTAGTCCTTGTTTTTAAAATATGCTTTTTGGAACCACAAATCTTAATCATTCAAACAAGGCAGGGAACATTGCAAAGTTAATGTATGATTAGGATTGAATTTTCTTTAGGAAGAAGGAAAAAATAAGCTGGAAGAATCATTTAACCATCAGACATTTGTTGAGTATCATTCTTTGATTTAATCTGCAAACATTTTTTTGAGCACCTACTATGCACTTAATTCTTCTTACGTTCTGGTACCTATATGGGAAAAGTATACAAGACATTTTCTGCTCCTACAGATTAAACAGCTTTTATTTGCATGAAAAACAAAAACAAAAATACATATGAAGCTAGTGAGGTACCATTTGTTCTGGGTTGGTACCTGCTACATGAGAAATGGTTGTGGGAAGAAGGAGGCAGAAGAGAGAGGAAACACATGGGGTTGAGCAAGAACATTAACTTCGTACATTCATAGAATTATTAAAGTTTACAGAGCATCTTCATATCCATTTGACCACATTTGACCATCTTTACAAGTTAAGTATTTATTGTTGTTTCCCTTTATAGGTGAAAAGAAAAACTGAGGGCCAGATGGTTAAGTGACTCTCCCAAGGTCACTCAGATAGTATTTGACAATCCTGGACCCAGACTGGTCAAATCTATGCATTTTCTTCACCTCCAGTGCCATAGACCTTTATCTTTTGCCTAGACTATTTTAAGGCAGCTGATGTCCTTGTATTTCTTTTCCCTTCTATGATCTTTTCTTGGCAACTGGAGTAACTCTTTTCCTTGAATGCTAAATTGATCATATTGCTTACAGTGCCTTGAGAGCATCACACTACTGTTGTATATATGGGACCTGTATATATGGGACCTGCCTTCAGGGTGCTTCCTGGTCTGTCCCTGACCTGTTGTCCTGCTCTTGTCCCGATGCTTCTCTGGGATCTCTGGGCTCTAGCCACCCCCTTCATCCTCAGACCTGCACACTGATCCGTTCCCCTGCCTGCATACTCACCCTGCCTTCCCCTAGCACACCTGGACTAGAGCACTGGCAAAGAGAGGCAGGGAGAGATGACCCTGAGAGGCTCTGGGAAGGAAGGTCTCCTGGGACTTGGTGACAGTGAAGAAGGGGATTGAGGCAATGTCAGAGTTTCAATTTTTGGAAGAGCATGGGGTTGCTGATATAAACGGAAGGCTTTGACCTTGGTTTCTTTGCCTTACCATCCAGGGACAACACCACACCTAAGCTCACATGCTGTGTAGGTATTAGCTTGGGACTGGATTTACTCGTTTCTCCAGTCACTAGAGTAGGTTTTGCACAGTTGATTGCCAGCATGACCTTCCCTGTAACAGGTACCCTGCATAAGCCCTTCCTTGCTTTTCCCACCTCTCTTTGGGACATGGATTGTGCATCTCAATTGCACAATTTTGGGCTTTGCAGTGGCTCTTCCCCTGGTGGGATCACTCCTCCACAGGTTTTCATAAGGCCTTCTCCTTGATCCTTCAAGGTCTTCCTCAAATCTCATCTTTTTAGGGACCACGCTCCCTTCTCTGGCACTCATGATCCCTCTGATCAACGCTTTCTGGTATATTACTTCTATACTACATAGTTTAGATGATTTATTGGCTATTGTTTAGCCTCACTAAAATGCAATATCCAAAAAACCAAGGATTTTTAAAAAAAATGTTTTTCTCTCCATTATTTCCCAAATACCTAGAAGAGAGCATAGCTGGACCTTAGAAGGGGCTTCATTATATTTTCTGAGGACTGACTAAGTGAGGGTTGAAGTGTGTAGGCAACAAAGAAGGATGGAGCCAAGGGAATGGGGATTGCATAACTCCATGCCTGGCCCTGAAGCTGACAAAGCATTCAAATCCATATTTAAAGTAATACAGTACCAGCCATAGAGACATGTGTTGCAAGCTGGATTCTGTCTGAGAGGCTTAGGATTTGACCCTTGCTCTAAATAGAGCTAAAAATAAAACCAGGTATGCATGTGACCTTCTGGTTCTCAGTTTGGAAGGTTTCTAAGAGACACTACCTCCCCACCCAATATGGCAGAGCTTGCTGATTCAAAACACATGCAGGATTGAACCAGTTCCCACAGAAAGAACAAAGAGATGCACAATCCTTTCCCCAAATATTTGTTTGCTGCCCCAGAGCTACGAGTTGACAGTTTTTAGACATGGACCAGGTTACCAAATGAGTTTGCAGAAATCTCCTTCTCTGGAAATTCTTTAGAAGAGCAATGTGCTTTCTCTCTAGCCAGGGAAATTCTCTTGGTGCCAAGTTGTTGGGGGTGAGTTTACTAAGCTGCTTTCTTTTCCCATTAATAAGAATATAAATAACAATCCTCAGGTCACCAGGTCAAGCTTCAGAGAACTTCTGGGTAGTGTGACCCTGACAGCCATCTTTCTGGGGTGGCTTAGATGGTTGAGGAAGTTAGGATATGGGAGTGGCCCTCAGCTATGGATAAAAATGACTGTAAGGCATTTTCCATAAGTGTTTTGATTTATTAAGATATAGTACTTAAGTTTGTAAAGTTAGTGTAAAGCTGGGCAAGTAACAGTGGCTACCTAGATAAATCAGGTTTAAATGAATATCACCATTATTTTTTTAGTTCCTCGTGAATGGTCTGTAATTTAGACGTGGATCCACTAAGCCTTTGTGACTGAAAAGCAATGATTCGAATATAGAACTCCGTAGGTCTTCAGAGGGCATTCATAAAATAGAAGAAGACATATTCCTTGGTCCTCAGATTTGAATCCATGCAATATTCTAATGCTATTCTTGCCTATTGCTTTTACATGTGCTTACGTGATACATAGCATGCTGTGCTTTGTACATAAAAATATCCTATGGACATAATAAGACTCTGAGTAATTTTCTGTGCTGAATGTTTCCTACCAAGTCATACAGGTTGCACAGGGCTTTCAGGTTCCTTGAATCCTGTGACCCTCACCTAGGCAGTATGTCTTACCCTCCAGAAACAGTGTCAGAAAGGCCATGAGATCAGTGCAGGAGTGGTAGGGATGGGACCAGGTAGCTCTGTGAACACCACCTCTTGTGCCTGTTTCTGCTCCAGAGCTGTCAGAGATTTGGAGTTGTGTTGAGTCATCTACATTTTCTCACCCACTTCCTCTTTTGACTCACCACAAGCTTGTGCACACGGGCTTACCCACACCAGGTGTGCACTCCGTGGGCGCCAAGGCCAGCAGGGCCATGCAGCAAGCAGAAGTTAGGGCTGGCTTGGTGACTGATTGAAGTCCCACATGTTCAATGAGGATTGGAGGCAGCCAGTTTACCCTAATAAAAGCTGCTATTTATTGTGCACTGAATGCCAGATGTTGAGCTAATCCCATCATATTCTGCTGAATTCTTGTAACATCATTGGGAGATGCAGATATAGGCAACAGCTTTCTGCAACTAAGGAAACAGGTTTGTGTGACTTCCCGAAGTCATATGACTAATAAGTAGCAGAGCTAGGCTTTCAGGTAAAGTTAGTGAAAGACTGGGGGAGTAATAGTGGCTACCTAGCTAAATCAGGGTTAGCTACTCAGCAGGTTGTCGGGACTCAGGCAGTCTGTCCTCAGTGCTATTGGTCTTAATTGCCGTCCAATGATTTCCATGCCAAGTTGGAAGGACATTCCAGCCAGCGGAAGCCATGCCTGTAAATGCTATGGAGACCTGAAAAGCAAGGCAAGGAACAGCTGGAATTGTGTGCTGTACCCTGTCTTCACTCACAGAACGAAGGTGGCAGAGATAGGATTGAATCCAGAGTTTTGTGACTCATTGTCGTGAGGCCATGCTGCAATCACTTAATTTTTATGAAATGCAGATACTAAATATGTCTTTTAGTGGGCTTTGTAATGATGAGTTATGTAAATATTGTAGCACATAGGAGATGTTCAATATAGCAAGTTAATATTTATTTGCAATATGATTTGAAAAAAAATTCATGTTTTTCTTTATTGGAAATCTTCAACAATTGTGTGTATCTCTTATTTGAGGAACATACTAAATAGTAAGAAATGGAGTCCAAAATTACAAGTCTGCTTTCCCAAGCAGGAGAAAAGAATCATACATTTTTGAGATGAATTTCACCAAATGGGACAGTCATTTTAGCATTGTGGGGTAGACTTTCCCAAACAGGAGAAAAGAATCATACATTTTTGATATGAATTTCACCAAATAGGACAGTCATTTTAGCATTGTGGGGTAGAGTTTTATGGGATATAAAAGGTTATTGTCATGTTTTAAGTTAGTGGAAAATGTTAAAGATCATGTTTGTTCATGTTTTTTCAACAAAGGAAACCATAGAAACAAAATTTCAAAATATAATTAATCAGTAAATATTCTACAACTATAAAAATTACACAAAAAGTGAAAAATCTCTCCTCTAATTGCAGTTTTACTCTCAGAGACAAACACCATTAACAATTTTTTAAAAAAATTTGTTTACATATCATGGATATATTTCCATTTCATCTTTTATAGGTTTGCTTTTTTTTTAACATAGTCAAGTATTAATTGAAAGAGAAAGACAATAGGTAATATAATTTCAAAAAAGTGCTTCTTAAAAAAAATACAAAAGAATACCTTCCATGAAACGAGAATGTGGAAAAGAAAATGGATTTTCTTTTAATAATTGTAGCATTATTTAACTATTACCTAAATACTGAAATAAATCATACTAGACTTATAGAAAACTGTTTGAAAAGCCTAATGATAAAGAAATATAAGTAAGAATTTGGTGAAGGGATAGTGAGAAAAGATGAAAGACAGTGTTATTACATGATTGTAGGTTGGCTTTTTATTTTAAATATTTATTAGCTTTATAATTTACAAATCATGAAACCCATTTATTGTAAATATATAATTCAATTATTTTAGTAAATTTGCATAGTTGTACAATCATGATCATAATCCATTTTTAAAACACTTTTATTCTTCCAAAAATGTTCCATTGTGCCTTTTTATTGTCAATTCCCAGCTCTAGTTAAAGTAACTGTTTTTCAGCTTTCTGTCATTATAGTTGTTCTCTCTAGAAATTCCATGTAAGTGGAATCATATGACACATTTTATATTATGTTGTGTCTGTTTCTTTTCACTTATCATGACTTTAAGGTTCACCCATCTTGTTGCCATATCAGTAATTTATACCTTTTTCATGTGAGTAGTATGCCATTGTATGGATATACCATATTTTATTTAACTTTTGATTAAATTATGATGAATATTTGGTTTGATCCCAACTTATTTGGGAATGTATTAACATGTTTTCTATCACTATAATAAAATACTTGAGGTTGGTAATGTATCAAGAAAAGAGGTTTATTTAGCTCACAGTTCTGGAAATTCAAGGGCATGGTGCCGGCTACTGCTTGACTCATGGGATATAGCCTCATGATATATAGCATTGGTGGGAGCACATGTGGGAGGGAAAGAACACATGGAAAGACAGGAATCCATAGAGTGGGAATGGGCCATTCTTAATCTTTTTTAACAGTCCTCTTTTGTGAGAAATAATCTGGGTCCCACATAAACTAAATTAATGTCTTCTGAGTGCAGTGCCCCCAACATCTTCCCACTAGGCTCCATTTCATAAAGATCCTACTACTTCTCACTACACTGGGGACCAGGCCTCCCACACATGAACCAGTGTTATAAATAAAGCTCCTATGAATATTCACAGATGAGTCTCTCTGTTCACATAAGTTTCTCACTCCCCTCTCACTGGGTGTATATCTTGGAGGTAAATTGCTAGGTTTTGTGGTAAGTTGTGTTTTAAAAAATTGCCAGACTTTCTTTCAAAATGACTGTATTTTACATTTGTCCCCATATTGTGTGAGAGTCCCATTTCCCCCGCAATTCCCTAACACTTGTTTTTGTCAGTTGTGTGATTATAGCTGCTTTAGTAGGTATGTAGGGATATCTTACTGTGATTTTCATTTTCTTAATTACTAATGACATTGAACATTTGTTCATGTACTTATTGTATATCTTCTTGGTGAAGTGTCCATTTTATAATTGGCTATTATATTACTAAATTATTTATGAGGGTTCTTTATATAATCTACATTGAATTGTATTATCATATGTATGATTTGCACTTATTTTCTCCCAATCTAATTTGTATATTCATTTTCCTAATTATTTCTTTTGAAGAATTTTTTAAAATTATGAGGTCAAATTTATCATTTTTAAAAAAATAAGTCTTAACTTTTAAAGAAATATTTGTGTAGTGCAAGATCACAGAGATTTTCTTTGGTTTTTACATTTAGGGATATGATACATTTTGAGGTGATGCTTGTGTATGGTGTAATATAAGAGTCTCAGACTTCCTTCTTTCCTTCATTCCTTCCTTCCTTCCTTCCTTCCTTCCTTCCTTCCTTCCTTCCTTCCTTCCTTCCTCAGATACACATTTAGTTCTATCACTACTGTCAAGCAGCCTGTCCTTTCCCTGTTCTCTTCTACTAATCAGAAAATATATCCTTAGCAATGGTATGTTTATAGTAAGTTTTGAATTCAGGTAGCATAACTTTTACAGATTTGTCTTTTCTTTTCAAAAATGAAAAAAAGAAGCAAGGTAACTTAACCTTAGAGCCAGGTTGTTGTTTTTTTTTTTTTTTTTTTGGGTGGGGGGGTATTTTATTAAACATTTAAGAAAGAAACAGTATGAAACTTATCATGACTTTTTATGTCCTTTGCATTTCTGTATAAATGTTAAGAGACGCTTGTCAGATTTTACAAAATAAAAGAAAGTAAAACATAACCAGCTCTCCCAGATTTTAGTGGAAGTTATGTAAATTCTGTGCATCTAAGGAGACTGCCATATTATCGGTGTTAATATTGTATATTTCTCTAATGTGGACTTTTTGTGTGTTTTGTGGTTTCTGGTGACTGGACATTGAACTTCTTTTGAAATATAAATTACAAATATCTGATTATTTGTTTTGATACTAATGTGAATTGCATTATTTCCTTTATTTCATTTTGATATCAGTTTCTAATAGGTAGAAATATAATTGATTTTATATGTTAATCTTAAATCTTGTGGTTTTACTCTACTTGTTTAATACTTCTAGTAGGTTTTTTTTTGGTAGATTTTTTTTCTTAAAAAATTTTCTGCATGTGGAATCCTACCATCTACACAGAAAGATATTTTAATGTTTTGTTTTTTTCCCACTCTGTGTGCCTTCAATTTATTTTTCTTGTCTTATTTTCCTGGCTAGATTTTCCAGTACAAGCTTGAATAGAAATGGTAAAAGTGAACATTCTTGCTTTTTTCCTAATCTAGGAAAATCATTCATTTTATTAAATATGTTAAGTTTTTGTAGATTCTATATATCAGTTGTGTATGTTGTCTTTTATTTCTCATTTATTGATTTTCCTTATTTTTTTTGAGGGATCTTCTGCATCTTTTGAGATGATCATTTGGTGTTTGAACTTTATTCTTTTATTTTATATATATATATATATATATGTGTGTGTGTGTGTGTATGTGTGTGTATATATATATATATATATATATATGTATATATAGGTATATATATGTATGTATATGTATGTCTGTATATATGAATTTATGGTTATTAAACCACCCATGCATCCTTGGGATAGCTTCACATGTTCATGGTGTACAATGCCAACTTAATATGTTGTAAAACTTGGTTTGTTAATATTTTGTTAAACAAATTTAAACCTAGGTTGATGTTAAATACTAGTCTGTAATATTCTTTATTTTTAATGATGTCTTTATTCATCTTTGATATTAATTAGGTTAATGCTAGCCATGTAAAAGTTGGTGTAAAGTGTTTCCTCCTTTGCCATTCTAAACAAGTTTTGTGTAGGTTTCATACTGTTTCTTTCTTAAAAGTTTAATAAAATCCCACCCCCTCCACACCAAAAAACAAAACAAAACAAAAACCAATCTGGGTCTGGAGTTAAGTTACCTTGCTTCTTTTTTTCTTTCTTTATTTTTGTATTTCTTCCTGTCTTCATCTCTCATTGTGAATGGTTTTAGCCAAAATTTAATTTTTCTCAATTTGTTTGTGACTTTGAACAATTTCCCTGAATATAGTTATTTTTGATGTACTGTCCAATTTTATAATTTTATTTTGCATAGATTTGCTTCTCTCTTCATGCCATCACACCCAAAAGTCACTTCTAAGTTTTTCACATTATTCTATCTTAGAGATGTGCTATAGTTTATTATCCAGAGACAATTTCTTGTTTTTAAATATATTCTTATTAATAATTTATTAAGATAGTTTCCTAGAAATGGGACTGTTGGGTCAAATGATATATATATTTTTAACTTTAATATATACTGTCAAATTATTTTCCCAAATTGATACTCAATAATTACAGTTAGAATAATGTTCAAGAAGACCCAATTTCCTGTTTCTTGTCATTATCATATACTGTTAATCTTTCATACTTTTATCAATATAAAAACAAATTTGTATATTTTTATTTTCTTACCTAATTGTAGGGCAGTTGGAAATATTTGCACATATTCTATTTCTTTTTTGTTAAGCAATATTCTTGCCTTTTGCTTAATTTCTAATAGGTTGGTTATCTTTTTCTGATTAATTTATAGGATCTTTTGGTATTTTAGTGATATTGAACTCCTATTTGGTTTATATTGTAGATGATTTTTTATTTAATCATTCATTTCCTTCTTGTTATAACTTGTATTAAAGCTTTTAAAAGTCCAGTGATGTGATTTATGTTTTTGTTTGCTTTTAAAACAGAAAGTTGTACAAGGGATCGATTTAAACCAAATTCGAGGACTTGGGTTCGATGCCACATGCTCTCTGGTTGTCTTGGATAAACGGTTTCGTCCTTTGCCAGTAAACCATGAAGGTAGGACCACTTCTCTCCCTCTCTCTGGTGGGGGAGACTGACTGGGGTGGCCTTGGCTGTTTGGTGTAATATCAGCCACAGGTCTTATGCAACTGATAGTGAAGTGTCAAAGGTGGAGTGTGGACGTCAAAGTCATAAGCTTGCAGAGCCTTTAGTATGACTGAGATCGCACTGGAGGTGGGTCAGGGAAGGACTTGTTTCCATAAAGCCCTAGAGCCACAGTGGGAGCTAATGAAGGATGTGGGGTCCTTCTGGGGTGAGCAGCCTTGAAGCAGACGTGGTTTGGTTTTGTGGCAGGGAGTGCTGGTGTTGGCAGTGCTTGTGAAGTTCCTATAGAACTCTCATTTGAGTGGGTGCACCACATGCAGTTAAAAGAACTAGAGTAGGGCAGACAGGACAGGTATCCCATGGAAACTGGAAACAGATGGCCTCTCTCATTTCACTAATCACGCCAAAAACATTCACATTTAATGATGGTGTGTTCTAATTGGTGCTTGTGACTCCAGTAATGAGCAGTTTCAAATGTAAAGTGCCACTTGGGGCCAACATCAGAGATTTTTCCCGGGGAATTTTAGCCAGTAGTACTAGCACCCAAGAGTCTACACTAGTCAGAATAAAGTGGGTCAAGTTTGAGAAGAGCAGCAGGTGTGTGATAAACGCCTATTGATATTTAATAACGATTCAGTAAGAGGAAGACATTAAGGAATGGTGGAGAGTGTGCTGTTCTGGACCTCGTGTGTTCCATCTAGGCATTGCCCATCTGTGGTTGCCAACATAGCCATTATTTAGATGAGATTCTGTAGATGATAGTTGTGGGCACTGTCATAGCACCTTTCATACTGGTGGCTATGGGATAGTAGGGCACACTGGGACACACTGAATTGGAATCAAACAGTGACTAGGGCTTCGCTCTTCTGCTGATTCCTTGGGTGAATCACTTTACCTTTGAATATCTGGTTTTTCCTGTGAGAGAACTGGAATAATGAAACAGTAGCTTTACTGAGAGAAGCTAGGGCCCGACCCCTGAAAGCTCAGGTCTAGGGAATGTGTTCCACTCACTTGTGTGGAGCAGTGATAATTATAAATGGCCTGTGCTCAAAACGCCTGTAAATGGATGAGTGCCTAGAGCAGGGTTGTAACTTCTTTTATTTGCATACCCTGCCAACCCCGCCTTTTTCCTGATATGTTTACTGCACCTACTATGTGCTATGCTAAGTCCTATTTTATTGAGTGCTGATTCAAACATGAATCCAAATGATTCTTGCCTTCAGTGGCCATTCAAGTTGGCTTTCTTCTGGCCAGGGGGGTGGGCAGCTGCAGTTGGGGCCACTCCAGAGAACAGAGACCCGAGGTAAACCAGCAGACCCCAGCCCAGCAGAGCAGACACTCTACTGACTAGACTCTTGGGGAAGCTGCTGGCACTTCCTATATTGGCCCAGTGAAAGTCAATGATTGTCAGTTAAGGATACCCTAGGAGGAAGTCTCATCTTGGGTAGGACTTTAAATGTTGGAGTCTGTATTGTCTGATTGACTAAAATATGTTGTTTTTCTTTTTTTGCTTTTAAACTGACTGTGCATTAGTCAGTTTCAAACAGGAGATCATTTTTATAATTGACATTCATTAGACTTACCTCCAAGGTTTGTGTTCAGTTGTCCTTAGGTGGGGCTAGGGCATCACCATTTTGTTTTTTTAAGAAGGTTCCTTGGGAATTGTGGTGTTCGGAGAATCACCAGGCCCAGGTGAGTGGACAGTTAAAACAACAGGAACAGACATCTGAAGTAGGAGAAGAGAGCTCCTTATTAACACAGTCGAACACACCGCTGGATGCCATCTTCCAGGGTGGAATTGTCTGTCACCTGTTAGCAGGTCCTCTATTAAAGAGGGAACTAAGTTGACTCCCTAATTATAAGTGTTGAAATAACTTTATTCCACCTGAAAGGTTGAAATGTACCCATTCATCAGCTGTACCCAGCTGCAGGTGTTCACACCAGTTTCTTGCCTTTCAACAGATTCTATTAAGTTGGATCCTATCTGAGGTGATTATCCTATGCTCAAAAATGAAATTAGAATATTAATAAGGTGGTTTAAAGATTCTTTAAAGACTGCTTCTGTCTACTAGGCAAGGATCCACTCTGGGTTGGTTGAAGAAAAGGGAATGGGGTCATGGAGATGACAGATAACCCCAATCACTGTGAACACCAAATCCACAAGATTGGTAAAATGCTGCCATCTTCAGATGTTAACCAAAAAATTAAAAACAAAATAAATTAAGCAGCATAGTTGAGAACACTATGCATGACTGTGTGATGAAATAGTCTTGTTGTTAGTTTCTCCTTGGTCCTTCTTGTTTTGAAGGTCAGAACAGCCCCTGGGTTGGATCCACCGCAGTTGCTGCTGCTTCCTGCCCTGCAACCTTTAGGCTCAGAGCCTAACTTTGGTTGTATCACCACAGTAGGGAGCCCTTTGGAGCAGGGGATCCCAGGGTGATAACTGGGGCTGGGGAAGGAGCAAGTGCCCATACATCTCTGTGCAACAGAAATTTCATATTTGGATGTTTTTGCTGGTTCATAATAACTTTTTTGTCCTCGAGTGTGACAGGAGCATAACCTGTGAGTTGTTCAAAGTTTTAATTAAGCGAATACACAGATGAGTAATTTGCCCTTGGGTAAGCTGTGCAGCTCAAATGCTGCTCTACCAATTCTGCCTCAGATTCTCCTAAAATACGATGTGTCTGGCCTGTGCAGTTTCACATGCTGTCTCTCTTGTCTTGTGCCTCTTTCCTCATGTCCCTTTCACCTGATTCCCACTGGCTGGTCATTTTAGAATTAAACAAAAGCTCTCCTGCCTCCTGAGATCTCTCTGTGCAGCTTCAGAATTAGTCTGGTCTGAGCTGCACCTGTTTCGAAGCCTAGCACTTCTGTTCGGGCAGTCCATGCACTATATAGACCCTTCCCTCTCAAAACACAAGCTCCTGTGGGCAGAGACTGAGGCACATTTTTGGGATCCCCATACCCAGTATTGCACCTGGCATGTAGTAAATGCTCAATAAAAGACTAAACAAACTTTGGTTGAATCATTTACTTGTGATTTTTTTTTCTATGAGAACTGAAAAAGGATTAACTTCTCAGCTGTTGTCGAAAATGAAAATAACTATAATAAACACAGGAAAGTTATTCTGTACAGTTCTCATTGTGTTGTTCTCACTACAGAAGCTGCTGATTGAGAAGCTAATTGGCTTCTCTTTCCTCTTGTTGGAAGTTTAGGAACATGTATTTCTGTTTCGAGGCAGTTGTGGATACATCCTCTACAATGTTTAAGAAACAGTACTGATTTTGCCACCCACACATGTGTGTACATATGTGGGCACATACCCACATTTGGATTGCCTGATGGTTCCTATAGGACCTGAATGTCACTGTTTTTTGAAAGCTGTACAGATAATTCTCATGTGAGCCTAGGGCTGAGAAGCAGAGCCTCCAGCAATTCTCTTACAAAGTAGAAGCAGTCTGCTGTTAACAAAAAGGATTTTTGACACACCTATGCTTTATCTTATTTTCAGAGTATTGTGAAGCTGTTTTGGGACCCAAAGTCTTTTCAATCAGGCAAACCAGTGACTAAGACTTTGCAATTTGTTTCTTATTTAGATATTTTCTTAGGTTGGCTTTTTAAAATTTTAGTTTTAAAAAGAGTTTTCAAAGATAAACAGCCTTTTGTGTACCTTTTATGGACTTAAGATAAAAATAAATTTTTTTCCTTATTTGCATTAAGTCTTTTTTTAAAAGAAAGAACTATTTATAACCATACTGCTCACAAATTGCTTTTTTGCTTTTTCTTTGTACACACACCCACATACACATACACACACACCAGTAGTAATCTGCGCTGTTTTAAATTGGCTCACCTGTATCATGCCATGTGGATTATGTTTAACTCCAGTTTATTCATTTTACCAGAACTCTGCACAGATCTGGGTGCAGGGCACATGTGTATTTCCCAGCTGCATGTCACTGGGCACATGTTCAACTCCTGCATCTCAGTTTGTTGTTGAAAAACAGGAATAATAGTACTCATAGTGGAGGGGTCGCTTTAAGGACTTGGTGAGTAGAGGTGTGCAGAATGTTTAACACAGGGCTTGGGAGACAGCAAACACAGATGATAAACATTTGCTATTAGCCATATATGTGGTTGCTGAAGTTCTTTTGCCACCAAGTAAAATAATGTGTGATGGCCCCTGGCTCAGTAGCTGATGGCCCCGTTGTCTTTCCCCTAATCACCTCTCAGGTACGGTGTTGCCATTCCCTGTAGGATTTGTGGCTGTGGAAGGAACACAGCTTGCTCATCAGAACATGGTGAATTTAAAGGCTGGGGAAGAGAGGAAGGGACTGTCAATTCTATGGAGACAGCACGGGGGAGACTGGATGTGAGGGCTGATCCTCTTTTCCAGTGGGTTTGATTTCTGTTCCTTATGATTTACTCCTGCAGGTCTACCAAGGGACAGGGACTTGCAATGTCTCTCATGTGCATTATCATTTATTTAATAAATGAAGGCTCTTAGTTATTCCTTATATGCTATTCAGCATTGTTATTCCCATTGTACAGATAAGGGCACTGAGGCCAAGAGAAGCTTAATAACCTTCTTGCATTCACTATTAGGTCAGCCTGATCCCAAACTCCTGTCCTTCCCCCTCTACCAAACTGACCATTTGAATGGGAGAAAAAAAAAAAAACACCCAAACGAGCCAGTTTTAATAAACTGACTGTAAAAAAGTGAAAGTAGAAGCAGATGAATTCCGTGTTTCAGCTGGGAGATGGATTACACCATCAAAATAATTCCCCATATTTAAAGGAGGCAAATCTGAAGATGGAATATGTCAGTCTTGTTTCATAGGCTCTTCTCAGTGTGCATTCAGAAGTGCTGTTCTAGAACAGGGATGAGAAAGGAAGGGAAAAAGTTGAGGGAATGAACGATAAGATAATTAATTGGTAGCTTTCATCTGGTTTTAGTGTGGAGGGTTGGCCCTGGAGTTGTGGTCAGGGAGCAGGTGACTGAAGGGGCATATGGGTTGTGGGACTGGGCATCCTAAGCCTTGCAAATGTCCTTCCACTTTCATTCTTGACCTACTAGATTGCAGAAGTTGTGCAGGACATCGCCCCAGAATCCATAACTGCCCCTTTAAGGAAGGGAAACAATGCACATCTATATTCACTGCTCTCTGCCTTTGTCTCTGTCTCTGTCTCTCTCTCACTTCTGTTAGGGGATTCCCATCGAAATGTCATCATGTGGCTGGACCACCGAGCAGTCAGTCAGGTGCATAGGATCAATGAGACGAAGCACAGTGTCCTCCAGTATGTTGGGGGCGTGATGTCTGTGGAAATGCAGGCCCCAAAGCTTCTCTGGCTAAAAGAGGTGAGTGCATAGGGATGAGGGGAGAGTTCCATTAATCATGGGTCTGTATTACCAGACACCTTGCTATAAAGTCTTCAGTGTTGGGTTTTTCTTAGCAACCCTCTGAGGAAGGTTGATCCTTTTGTATTGATTAAGTTAAAGTTAAGTCACTCTTTTTTTTTTTCATTTTTAATTGGTGTATTATAGTGGTACATATTGGTGGGATTTGTTGTTACATATCTTTACATACACACAATATAACAATATAATTTGGCCAATATCACTCCCCAGCACTTTCTCCTCACTCTTCACCTTCCAGTCCTCGGTCCTTTACTTTACTGATCTCCCTTTGATCTTCATGAGACACCACCCCTCCTTTATTTTCTTTTTATTCTCTAGCTTCCACATATTCAAGAAAACATATGATCCTTGACCTTCGGAGTTTGACTTATTTAGCTTAACATAATGGTCTCTAGTTCTGTTCATTTCCCTGCAAACGATATAATTTCTTTTTTTCTTTTGGGTGTATGTACCACATTTTCCATATCCATTCAGCCTTTGATGGATACATAGGCTTGTTCCAGGTTGGCTGTTGTGACTTGTGCTGCTGTAAACATGGATATGTATGTATCAATGTAGTATGATGACCTTAATTCTTCAGTATAAATTCCAAGGAGTGGTATGGCTGGGTCGTGTGGTGATTCCATTCCTATTCTTTTGAAGAACATCCATATTGATTTCCATACTGTTTGTACTAATTTGCAATCTCACCAACAATGTAAAAGTGTGCCCTTTCCCCCACATCCTGTCCAGCATTTATTATTACTTGTATTTATTATATGACTGCCATTCTGACTGGTCTGAGATGAAATATAATTTTAAGTCAGTCTGTTTCTGTGTGCTTAGTTCATGTCAGGCACTATGATAGGTATTTTGCACGTTACCTCTTCAAATTCTAACAACCACCCAGTGAAGTAGGTTTAATTTATTTATTTATGATAGGGGCTCCGTTTTGTAGACAAGGAAACTAAAGCTCATAATAGATAAACCACTTCAACCAAAGTGACACAATAAGTATGTGGCAGAGCTAAGATGGAACCTAAGATTGACTGACTCCAAAATCAAATTTTTTTAAAACCCAGTACTCTGTCGAAGTTCAGAGAGGTTAATTACTATTCCCATTAGAAAGTGGCAGATATAAGTCCAGATACTCTGGCCATACCCCCGCCCCCTTTTTTTTTAAATACACTTTTAGCCCCAAATTATTCATCTTTGGCCTTGTTGACATTTGAGGATATCTCTTTTCTCACCTCATCTGCCCTTGGGTTTTCACATCCGTGAGTGATCTGGTGATCCTGGTCAAAGTGCTTGCAGGTGTTCCCATTTCCAGATGTGAGGACTCCTTTATGAAGTGTGGAGAGTGGTGATGTCAGCTTAATGGTTCCCATTAGAGATGGATGTGTGCAAAAGTTCAAGTCCTTTGGAACCTTGGGGACTTGAAAACCCCTAGGTGGTCTGGTGAACAGAGAATCCATCTAGTGAGCAAGACATGGGGTGATTCATTCGCTGGCTCTGGGGTTGCAGGTAGGCTGACTCATCAGTTATTCAGATTGTGTGTGGAGGTGGGGGAACTTAAGGGTGCTTGCAAAGGTGCCCCCGGGTTGTCACTGGGGAAGAAGAGGGGGAAGGAAGAAGAGATTTATTAATCAAAGCAGGCTTGGCTTGTTATCTCTATTATAAGTTTTAATCTGCAGAAAGGCTGTGACTGCTAAGAGTTTGAAAAAGATTTCTTGGGGGTCAAGGGTTTCAGGAATCCGATTCTGACTCTATTGTCTGCATTGTGTGCCGTGGGCAAGCACTTCTTAGCCCAGGCCTCCCTTTTTCCATCTATAAAATGAGAAAGTTGAATTAGATCAGTTTAAAAATCTGATCCAAATGTATGCGGAAACACAAGTTGGCATACAGAACTGCTCTGTCCCATGTGTTTTATAGGACCTGCTGGTTTAATGCTAAGAACCTTTGCCTAGTAGGCAGCATGGGGAACTGAGACTGAGACTGAGGATATGTGGTTTCCCAGATACCTGGTAGATCCGGAATTTAAGTCCATGTCTCCAGGGCTCCATTCCTAGCTCATTCCATCATGTCATGCATTACTGAAATCCCTCTGTGAAGCATGACACTTGGGATAGGACCAAGTTGTTTGATATTGGCCAAATTATATTGTTATATTGTGTGTATGTAAAGATATGTAACAACAACAATATAATTTTTCTCTTACTGCAAGAAGAGAAATGGGTTGGATGCATTGCCCCTTTTTGGCAAGAAAAGAAGAAGAGCTGTACTGAATTAATTGGGGGGGATTGGGCAGATGGTCATGGATTCATATCAGAGTCATACTGAACCCCTGTTGTGTTCTTGGCAGCTCCAGCCATTAGTTTCAGGATCTGTAAGAACCAGGATGCTTGCCGCTTTGCATTTGAGATCCATCTACACTAAAGCCGATAGAAAATAATTAATTTCTAGATTAGGGGGCAATATTTGTGAACACCTATGAGCATCTTTTATTAATTAATTTATTTTAAGAAATCAATTCCCTTTCAGAATTTTGAGAAAGGCTCTAAATATTGCCTTTCTACTTATTCGCCTACTTGAAGGTAAGCCTCAAATCCATTATATATATATATATATATATATATATATATATATATTTTTTTTTATTTTTTTTTTTTTTTTTTTTGCTTTTGGTAAGCACGCACAGTAATTCCTGCAGAGAATCCCTTTGGTGTTAGCATGATTGCACATTCATAATTAAAGATATTTTAAAAATCAGTTTTAGTAACTTCTCAAAACCTGTCAGGATGGCTTATAGGATATGCTTCCCAAACTTATGTGTAAATGAGTCACCTGGAGATCTTGTTAAACTGCACATTCTGATTCAGTGGCCCTAGGGCAGGAACTGAGCATTTGAGAATTTTCATATCTATCAAATTGCCAAGTGATGCTGATGTTGCTGGCCTGAGGACTTTTAAAACAACTTCTAGTTCTAAAGGTTATGCCCTTGTACCCAGGAGAAAAGCATCCACTTGTGCAGAATCAGGAAGGGGTACCTTCTTTTTGATGCAGGGATGGGAGCCAGAAAAGTTAGGTAGCTATAGTGGAGCAGCTCAAGTACAAATTCAAGATAAGAACATGAGATTCTGCATTCTAAGTTAATTGAGCTGTTATTTATTTATTCTTTATTCAAGTCTTAATTTCCTAATCAGAATTTCCAAATCCTGAATTCCTTCTATGAACTAGCAAATGTGCTAGACAATAGGACCATGGGGACAAAAAGGACTCAGCCTTATCCTAGAGGTCCAGAGTCCACTGTGTGCAGTGCCAGGGGCATGAATAATGGAGTGGAGGGGAACACCCACCAAAAGATAGACTAAGCATGGTGATACAGGGATGTGTAAAGTGCTTTGGGAGAAAATCATTTGCTTTCTCAACACAAATAGTTTGACATGAGCCTCAGAATATAAGTGGAAGTTTTTCCTAGTAGGGAAGACAGGAAGGATAGTCCAGAGAGAGCCCATGTCCACTTACAGTATGGGAAGTCAGTCCCAGGGAAGAGCTGGGGGATTTTGGTGGGTGCAGTAGTCGCAGTAAGGTCAGGTAGGTAGCCTGGGTTCAGTTGTTCAGGGTTTATTTGGTGATGGATATTGGTTGAAAACCATCGACCCCTGACGGGGTGGGGGGTTAGATATGGGAGAGAATGTCTTAGGTAACTTTGGCAGGGGTGTGGAAATTGGAATAGGGGTGAGAAAATGTGTAAGAACTTGAATTTTCTCACTCTGCTGATGATAGCAAATTGATGCTTTGCACTGCTCTTAGGATAAATACCAAAGTTGGTAACTTAGACCAGATGGTGGTATGTGAGATCATGTTAACCTCCCCCCTCACCACACTGGGTGTCCCTCACCTCCTCGGTCACTCTGATCCATCCACAGCAATCCAGTGAGAGTTCCTCAAACACAGTCAGCTCTTTGCTACCTCACAGTGTTTACTAGAAAATGGCAAACTATACCCCTCCCTCATTCATCCTACAGTTACTGGATGGCTTGGTGCTGAGAATGGTTTTACATTTTCAAATGGTTGAGAAAGAATCAAAAGAAGAATATTTTGCGACTCATGCAAATTATATGAAGTTAAATTTTTAGTGGCTATAAAGTTTTATTGGAACACAACCACCCTCATTCCTTCCTATATTGTTTGTGGCTGCTTTTGCTTTATAGTGACAGAGCTTAGCAGTTAAGACAGAGACTCTATGGCCTGGGGAAATAAATGTACTATCTGCACCTGTAAATAAAATGTTTGCTGATCCATACTTTTGACAGTGATGTTTCTCCTGCCCAGAATGTTTTCTCTACTCACCACTGATTCCTCCTCATTTGTATCTCAGCTTTATTCATGCTTTCTTAGAAAATCTTTCTTGACCCTGAGGTACAAAGTCTCTTATCATTGTCATCTTAATTTTACTCCATTGACTCTTTCCTGAATTGTGAAGATGCCAGTTTGTAAGGTGATTCTTATGATGCTTGCCCCCCAATGTTATCATCCATAGGCGAATGGAGATCATGTCCATTTTGTCTATTGCACTGTGACTAATCCTAATCAAATGACTGGCCTCTGGTAGCTGCTAAACACATATTTTTTGAATAATTTGACAGAGCAGATAATAATTTGTAGTCCAGGTGAGACCTAGTGAGGCCTAAACTATGGGATGCGAAGATGAGTTCCAGAAATCTCTAGGAGATTATACCAACAGGATTCAGAGATTGATTAGATGAGATTTGAGGGAGTTGGGCAGAATTTGGACTTCAGACATCTTAGGAGACAGAAAATCTGTACTAGGACCACTGTGGCTCTTGGGCAAAGCCACTTGGGTCCTAGTCTTGCAATATGAACTTTTAATCATGTCCTTTACATTTAAGGTTTATGTGTTTCAGGTTGATGTATATCTTCTTAATAAGAATTGTCAG